GGACCCGGCGGTGGCAGCGCCGTCCCCTCCTCGGGAGCGCTGGGGCTGCTGGAGCTTTGCCTGGTCGCTGCTCTCCCTTCGGGTTGCACCCGAGGTGCTGCTGCTCCGTTCAGCGAGCAGCCCGGGGAGCTGCCGGCTGTCCGGGACCTCCTCCCAGGGTTTCAGCGCAGGAGTTGCTTTCCCAGGCGAATGGCAGGACCCGCGTCCTCCCCACGGGCATGGATTTCATCAAACAAAAACCAGTTTGTTTCTCGGGGCAAAGTTCCCGATGTTTTTGGGTTGGTTTTTTTTTAGCACTCGATCCCGCTGACGTTGTCGCGACGGAGAATTGCGATTGTTCAAAATCCGAGAAAGCGGCGGTATTTTATTACCGCTGTAAATATGTACGTGACGTTGTGGTAGAACAAGAAGAAATTCTTGTAGGAGGATCGTGAACCAAGGCGATTCAATAAGTGCTTTTTCTTCTGTTTGTTTGTTAGCTGCAATAGCCGGGCAGTGCCTGGGACAAATATATGTATTTGTTTAAACCACTTCAATTTGTTTTTTCGCTTTCCTAAATTACACCCTTGAGGTTTAGATCTGGCTAAATCCCGCTCGCTTGATTGAAACTGATGGGCTAAATTTACATGGAGCTAATCTAGGGAGCAAAATGGTCAGGCTGTCGCTTCGGACCACATTTGAACTAAAAGAAGGCAACGTTTTCAGGTTGGGTTTGTTTTGGGGTTGTGTTTGTTTTTGTTTTTTTTTTCATTCTTTGTTTTTATTGTTCTTGGTTTATTTGTTTTATGTCGTTTCCTGTTTTTTAAGGCAAAGGACCAAACGTTGCTGCTGAAAAGGAAAAAGAAAAAAAAAAAAGAGAAAACTTTTTATATTTTGTCCTGATTACTTTTCCCCTCATGCACTTGTTATTTCTGTTTCTCTCCTCCAGTTCTTCCTTTGTTCAGTCTATGTCCCGATGTGCACGGAGAAGATTAACATCCCGATAGGTCCCTGTGGTGGCATGTGCCTCTCTGTCAAAAGGAGGTGTGAACCTGTTTTAAAAGAATTTGGATTTGCTTGGCCAGACAGCCTAAACTGCAGCAAATTCCCACCCCAGAATGATCACAACCACATGTGCATGGAGGGCCCAGGAGATGAAGAGGTCCCCCTTCACAGCAAGACCTCCTTGCAGCCTGGAGAAGAATGCCACAGCATGGGATCTAATTCGGATCAGTACATCTGGGTGAAGAGAAGCTTGAACTGTGTCCTGAAGTGTGGCTACGATGCTGGTCTCTACAGCAGGTCAGCTAAGGAATTCACAGATATCTGGATGGCTGTGTGGGCCAGTCTTTGCTTCATCTCAACTGCCTTCACAGTCCTGACCTTCCTGATTGATTCATCCAGATTTTCCTACCCGGAGCGCCCAATCATATTTTTGAGCATGTGCTACAATATTTATAGCATTGCTTATATTGTGAGGCTGACTGTGGGCCGGGAAAGGATATCCTGTGATTTTGAAGAGGCAGCAGAACCTGTTCTTATCCAAGAAGGTCTTAAGAACACAGGATGTGCTATAATTTTCTTGCTGATGTATTTTTTCGGGATGGCTAGCTCCATCTGGTGGGTTATTCTCACATTGACGTGGTTTCTGGCTGCAGGACTCAAGTGGGGCCATGAAGCTATAGAAATGCACAGCTCTTATTTCCATATTGCAGCCTGGGCTATCCCTGCAGTGAAGACCATTGTCATTTTGATTATGAGACTAGTAGATGCTGACGAGCTCACCGGTCTGTGCTACGTTGGGAACCAGAACTTAGATGCACTGACGGGCTTTGTCGTCGCTCCGCTTTTTACCTACTTGGTCATTGGGACCTTATTCATTGCAGCAGGACTCGTGGCCTTATTTAAAATCAGGTCTAACCTTCAGAAAGATGGAACTAAAACTGACAAACTGGAGAGGCTGATGGTCAAAATTGGTGTCTTTTCAGTGCTGTACACTGTCCCAGCAACGTGTGTCATCGCCTGTTATTTCTATGAGATCTCCAACTGGGCCATATTCCGCTACTCGTCAGATGATTCCAATATGGCAGTGGAGATGCTCAAAATATTCATGTCCCTCCTGGTGGGTATTACGTCAGGTATGTGGATCTGGTCAGCCAAAACTCTGCACACGTGGCAGAAGTGCTCAAACAGACTGGTGAACTCAGGGAAAGTGAAACGGGAGAAGAGAGGAGACGGTTGGGTGAAACCTGGGAAAGGGAACGAGACCGTGGTATGAGAAAAGGACAACACCTTGATGGTCTCACTACTCTCCCATGAAGGACTGATTGTGTGTAAGCATTGCTGTGTAAATGTTGGGAATAGAGTAGGGAGATGGTTACACAACCTGTTTCTGGGGGATGTAAAAAAAAAAAAAAAGCCTTAAAAAATAAACAGCAGAAAGATCATGCTGCAAATACAATAGCCATAAACCATGCTGCCCAAAATAGGAAAGCCCAGGGAGGCTTTAAAAGCTGTGAAATATCCAAACGCAATATCTTCCTTTTTTTATTATTATTTTTTTCAAGCAGGATGCAATATACTGAAGTCTTTAGAAGCTGAGGGACTATAGCCCACAGCTGTGGGATGTTGTTTTCTTTTCATCGTTTTATAGCAGATGGAGGAAAGATGGTCCAGGGCCAAATACTGGGCTGATTTAGGGTCCAGTTATCAGATGATGGAGCACCCAGAACCTCAGCTAGAGTCTTATTTCTGAGTTCAGCCTCATGAAGGAAGTGCTTGCTGAGGGTTGTGTCTTTATGCCCTGGGGAATTCCGTTGCTCCCATATGCTGCACGAGTCAGCCAAGGATCAGATCCTCCAACAAATACCAAGTAGACATTTCAGGTCTGAGAGTTACCCATGATGAGCAGGATCTAGTGAGGTATTAGTGAGGACAATTTCTTCAAGTCATGTGATGGTTTAATAGTAATTTTGACTCATTCTTTTTACCATCTGTAACCTGGTCCAAATTGAGACTGTTGACTCAAATTGTTGAGTCAAATTGTTGACTCTGCCTTGCAGGAATTTGGACCTCCCTAGGTCCTTTCCCACCTGAATTGTTTTGTGGTTCTATGAACATTTCTGATTTTTTTAAAGCTTTACTCAAGGCTATTGTTAGAATTAGAGGAGTCAGTGGGAGCTAGGAAACTTCGTATGGTCATCTGCATTGGATATTGTTACCTGTCTGCCCCTGCTCCTGTCCCTTCAGGGGCTCCTGCTATTTCCAGTGGACTACTTTATTCTGCTGCTTTAATAGCTTTAAATAAAGTCTTACATTATAGTGTTCCTTCCTCCAGGAAAGGCAAAAATTAGTTGAGGGTCTCTTCAAACAATGCCAGTTTTCTTCAAGTAAGCTTATCTGTCTCTCTCTGGAGACCCATTGCATCAAGCAATTAAGTCTTAATATATTTCATTCAATGTGATGGTATCTCTGCAGACGCCAGTCTGGGGAGAAGCAAAATGTTAAGTTCCTTGGCAAACTTCTGTTCACACCAACCACTTGTATAATTATGTGTGTCAGTCACAATTAAAAGAACATTCTCAGTCCATGACATCGCAGTACAGCTGACTGCCTCACAGTGATGCTTCGATTGCTCTCTGACAGCTATGGAGATTTTTAAAATATACATATATATATATATATGTGCAGAATGTGAGCAGACATTCAGTCCTCAGGAATCATGAGAAACAATTCCAGTTTTTGTGAAGAATTCCCAAGAGAAGAGAACCAACTTCTTGGTCTCTAATAATGTTTCATAGCATCTGTTGAGTTTTCTTACCCTTTTATTTGAGGAGGCATCGGCTTGTGCTCATGGGGAGCTTGAACCTTATGTCGAGGCCTTGTTTGGCTAATAAGAAAGGTGATGCAAGTAGAAATAGTCCAGAAGCACTTAAGAGAACACTGTTTTGATGCTTTGTCCATTTGAAGGACCTTCAGTGCACCCTACGCTTTTGCTGCATTGGTTTGTCTGGAGCCTGGTCAGCTGTGGAGCAGCCCCTCAGTGCCCTGACCTGCATGACCTTTAAGGGCAGCTGAGAACAGGCACTGCTTTATTACAATCCTCAGTTTTCACACAGGTGCCCCATGTGCTTCCCAAACCACAATTCATTCCAGCTCTACCCGTGAGCACTAATCTGTCCCAGAAGTGTGTATTGTGTCAGTGTCAATGTTGAAACGTGTGCTATAGAGAGCATTAAAAAAACAACCAACACCAAACAAAAACACCCCACAAAACCCAAACCCCAAACAAACCCTCATTGCAGTCTTTGTGGTTGGGCTCCATCTCCAGCAGAACAAGTGACAACTTGATACATTCTGCTCAAGCTGCACAGGCATTGTCTAGTCCCAGGCCATTTACCAGCCTAGCCTTTTCTTCCTTTCCATAAAGCTCACTATTAGTGTTGTGTTTGGATCTGATTATTCCCCTGTGGCCGAGAAGTTCTGCAAGGAGGATATGTTCAGATGGCTGAACTTCTCTATCACATGATCTTGCTCCTGACTCAGCAAGGGATATAAAGTTGGACATATGTTGACTTTCAAGGGGTGAGGATGCGTTAGGATCATTGCCTTATAACCTGGCATTGGGCTGTGCCTAGGTGTGACATTTACTCAAGTGTCCTTCACTGTGAAACAGTTTGGATACTCTTCTGACCCAGTCTGGCCCGTTTGACCTGAATGATTCAATAAATGACATTTTTAACCATGTTACATACACAGAAGTGAACGTTAAGTAGTACCTTCTTATCAGATCTCTGCATCTGCCTGTGACCCTGTGGACTGTGACAGGATATCCCCAATGTTTTGAAATGCTGGAAGTGAGGTGGATGAGAATTGCACTGCGTAGCCCTATGAGGAATCTGGGGGGATATTCCATTAAAGAGTGTGAAGAATTTAAATACTATGTGGAGGAGGTGGGCTGGGGAGAGGCACCAGCTGCTGTTCCTGAAGGAACATCTTTCCCAATCACTCAGGGGTGCACTGCACCAACGCCAAGTCAGATTAGCTGTTGTAACAATCAAACTGTTCCATAAATGTGTTCATCCCCATGCATTTACCTTGCTCCACTTTGGGCTGTGTGAGTGGGAAGTCACAGCAGATAACCTAAAACTGGCACTGACCGAGAGCGGGTATCTGCAGCTTTTATGTTCTCTCATTTCAACGTTGTTATGAATTTAAAGCCAAAAAATGTGTGACTAATCCTGTCTTGGAAGAGCAGTTGCTGCAGTTACACAAATAGAAACTTCGCAGCAGTTACTTTCCTTGCACAGTCCCTGCTCCCTTCTGCTCCCCTGGCGTCTGCTCTTCTCACTGCAGGTTTCAGGAGCATCTGCCGGAGAGGCTCTTTTGTTAAACAGACAAGTTGGCTCCTTTTTCTGCATTTTAAGGAAATAGACACTGATTGTTTTGGGGTGTACAGAAAATATACCTACTTCGATGTATGTACTGTAAATTTCTAATTTATCACTGTAAAAAAACCAAAACAACAACTTTGCTATTTAATTTTTATATCAAAATAAAATTTTAATCTCTGTGAATAATGAAGGTGTTCCTAGCAGCCCTCAGGTTTTTGGTGAGTTTGTTTATTAAATTGGCTTAATCACTGGAAATGCTTCTTTTCCCCTGAAAGAAGAACAGAAATGCTCATGCTGTGGTGAAGGGATGCTCTGAATGGGTTGATCCAGCACAGTTTGGATCTAAGTGAGACAAATAACAGAACAAACATCAATGGGCAATGGTGAAAGCAGGTGCATACTTCAGGGCTTGCACACAGGCTGGGCAGAAACCCTCTCAAAGATGGCACACAGGTCCAAGGCGCTGGCTGGGGATGCGGCTGGAGCTTTGGGCTGTTCTGAGCATGTCCCCAAAACTGAATGGGAGTGCAAGATGGAAGCACAACCATCCACTGCTGCAGCACTGCTGTGGTGTGGCTCCTGGGGAGAGCAGAACCTCCTGTAAGGCTCCTTTTTATTTCAGGTGTTATGCAATTGATGGAATACGTGCATCCAAAGATGCACTGAGCATTCAGATCCTGGGTGTGTGGTGGAGGGGGGCAGTGTCACCACCTGCCTGTTCAGTATATGAGAACAAAGTTTGCCTTTCGAAAGAGGCAAATTCTGCTCTTATTAACACACTTGAAATTAGTTTGTCCTAGGGGTTAACTTCAGCCCTTCAGAGAACAGATTAAATTCATTGTCTACATTTTATTGCATATTTTTTAAAAATAAATGAAGCTTATTAATGCTCTGCTTATTTTTCATTCCTTTTGGTCATTCTGGTCACAGTTAGGATGTACAGCAGCAGCAAAGTGTTCCTTCTTTCTGTATGTGTCTCTCACCAGTTCCTCTGACACTGATACTAAGTACACTTTGTTATACTGCTCATCATCGAAACCTACTTAATCATCTCCATCATGAAGCCTTCTGTGTGTGGGATTACTTAATTAGCCTAACATTATTTTAATAAGAACCTAAATCAGACTAGAGTGGATAATAGTGAGGATGCACTATCAAGAAGACAGTAGAAATTATATCACCTGCATATCTGGCTAATGACTTTTTGAAGAGCAGCATCTAAATGTGTTAATTGGAGTGATTTGCTCATGCCTTTGGCAGCTCATCACTGTAATGTTCTCAGAGTGGTGAGTAATGAGATTCTGACTTGAATCTTATAATTAGTAGTCTTTAATATGGCTACAGTTAAATGTAACAGACATAAAGAGGGGAAAGAGAGGGATCTCCCTCTTGTGGTTGGGACTGTTCACACCAACGATGATCATCAGGCAGTGTTTGAGATGGTGTTGGCTGCTCCAAGCCTGTCTGGTGGCCACTTGACTTTACACATGCTCCCCACAACAGGCGTCTTGGAGCATCACCTGTGAAGTGTCTCTCAAGTGGGGACAGCCTCCCCAAGCCACCGGGATGACACATCAGCCCAGGTTTGTATACACACACACATACACACAAGTGCCTTTATCAGGAATTTTGGTGGTTGTTCTGCTATTTAGGCTTGGGGGGTTTTTGCCTAGTTGATTGGTTTTGTCTTGTTTTGAGGAAGCTTTTTGAGAGCAAATGTTAAGGAGTTTGTAGCAAAGGAGACCAGAGTTATGCTGTCAGAAATCAGGAGCATCCTATGCTCCGGTAAATCAAATATCACAGAATCTTAGGGGTTGAAAGGGACCTCGAAAGATCATCTAGTCCAACCCCCCTGCCAGAGCAGGATCACCCAGAGCACATCACACAGGAATGTGTCCAGGTGGAGTTTGAATGTCTCCAGCAAAGGAGACTCCACAGCCTGTCCCAGGGCTCTGTCACTCTCACAGGAAAGAAGTTCTTCCCGATACTCACATGGAACATCCTATGCTCCAGTTTGCAACCACTGCCCCTTGTCCTGTCACTGGACATCACTGAAA